TTGGGTTTGTGTGCTGTGGAGAGTTTTCTCCTGTGATGCGATGTTTGCAGCAAGTGGATTTTGCTGGAGAGTATGTGTGGAGGGTGTAGTTTTTCTTCCGTATAATTTTCTCAACTCCAGGAGTTCTTTGTCTAGGCGATCTGCAGCGATGTTACCTGGGCTGGGTTTGCCTTTTCTCTTTCCTGATGAATTGGAGTGTACATGCTCCGTGATTTTCCTTTTTGGTGTATTAGGATTAATTAAGTACGACGGACGAGGGAGAGTACCTCTTCCTCTGCCCGATCTAGTATTGGACGACATTTTATTCAGTATAGCTCCTTTTTGATAACCGCCGTCACTGTTTTCAACCTCATTGTAAATAAGTGTGGTGATTTTTGTGATGAACTTTTAATAAACAGTTAATGAGGGGTGTAACACTTTTAGAAAAGAAACTATAGTGGAGTAAAAAAGAAAATGTCCCCGTAGGGGGAATTACTGGATTTTGTACAAGGAAAAATTGCTGCCTTGAATTTAGCGTCCGAACGGTTCGGATGTTTGGCGCCAACTCGATCAGTCGAACTAGTTCCGCATGCACGTTGATAGGCCCAGAAAGGTCGTATTACTTCGTCAGATGGAGGAGCAAGGCCTATCCATCCTATCCGGCTTCACTTTCTCTTTTTCCGGTCAGCTGACTCGATTTATTGTGGAACCAACGGTTTCAATTGGTGTATGTCGAACGCATATTATGGGATTGCAATCTCGGCATAATGCAGCATTGATAGATAAATGCCCAGTTTATCATCGACGGTATGCTTATGATATTGGCAGAACGCCGAGGGTGCATCACGCTCCAGGGCATATTGATTCCTTTGTCGTGAATCGGAGTTTTGAAATTTACTGGAATTTCTCATCCCCGACTGTCAGACCCGCCGCTGCGACGAAACCTGGATTTATCCCTTTCGACTGTGAGGATAAATTCATGTCCCTCATTCAGTTCACGGCCCCGGAGGAGAGCATTATCTCAGTGAGAGAAGAGGTCAAGGGGCTCAAATTCCAACCTCTCCTGTTGGAGCTACATCAGCTGAACCGCGAATTCAGGCAAAAACTAGTAGTCCTGATTCTCCCAACGGCATGCGAGAGTCTCTCGGATCATCGCTTAAGGTCATACCAGTCTGTAGGTGAAATGCTATAACGTTGGCTGGCCAGTTGCAGAAAGCTGTCATTGTTTGGTATCTTCGGCTACTTAGACAGCATAACTCTGGAACAGGACCCGGCAACCTTCAGGTAATCAGGAGCCAGCCTATTAGAAGTCCGTGTCTCTCGCATCTACGCTTAAGTTCATACCAGTCTGTAGGTGAAATGCTATAATGTTGGCTGGCCAGTTGTAGAAAGCTGTCACTCTTTGGTCTCTTCGGCTACTTAGACACCATGACTCTGGACCACGGCCGGGCAACCTTCAGGTAATCAGCAGCCAGCCTATTACAAGGTCGGGATAATCCTATCCAAATGGGTACCTAATTAGCCAACCATTATGTGAGAATAAGTCGCAGTTGTTACGATATTCCCGCCAGCCACGTAGAGTGGCGTGTCCGTGCAATAAAAATGACTAAACCTAGTCAAACTGACCCGTCAGAATTAGCACAAATTTTCAGTTTTCAATTTAAAATCGAAAATGGAAACATTGAAATTTACAATGAAAATCCCTTAAGAATATATTTCGGAATTGGTTTTCAGTAACTATTATTTTCCTACCAAATATTGCAACTTTAAATGTGAAAAATAAAAATTTCCCATCCTCATATTTGGAATATATTGTTAAAAATTTAATTCCAGATTTTCGTATTGCATTTGCAATAAGGAAATAAATGTTCCTATTATTTTTCTGGTCGACCATACCTTATGACTGTTAATTTTTATGAAATGATAGAACGTGAAACTAGAACATTATTTTAAAAAACGACAAATTTGATATACCTAAACAGGAATATATTTTTTAATTAAGTGTCTACTCTTGGTGAACATTATGGAATGCTACTCAATGGAAACCGCGGGAAGGTGGTAGACGTCTTCCATCATGGGTAATGGGAAGGAATGAAATAGGAATGATAGTGTATCATAAAAACTGCTTTTTCCATTCAGCATTATCATTCATCGAGAATCTCGGGCATATTTGTAACTTGTTAGGGGCTATTTTAGTTTTGTCCGTTGCTATTTTCCTCTCAGAATTCTTATTCTTCTATTTCAAAATTCTTAATTACTATTAGTTTTTTCAGCAAGGACTATTGTAATTATCGCTCATACTATAATAAATAAGTCCAGTCTATAATAATATAAGTCCAGTCCAACCTTGACTTTAGCCGATACCAGAAAAAGAAGAAGAGAGTTCAAAAATAGTGTGAATGGGGTAGGATTCCGATAGCAAGTCTGTGGGAGAATCCGGGACGCCACTGACGCCGTCGCGGATGCCATCACCGAGAGGAGCCGCACCCGTAGCCAGAACCTAGGGAAAAGCCCGGCGAGCATATAATTTGCCTGACGACGTTTCTACCTAGGCCGCCCCAGACGAGTAGACGTGGCCCTGAACATAGAGAGCATACCGACAGGGATAACCTGAAACCTAGAGAGCATGGTCATCGGCCATAATGTTCGAACAAGCGTCAAATAGCGTTCGACTTCCGCATCTATCGTGATCGTTGCACAGGCTGATCTGTGGCGGCCAGATAATTTCGTTTATTAGTCCTCCGCTTGACAACTTTTTTATTAGTTTACTCTCATACCGCGTTGACACTCCAAAGGGACTTAAAAAATTCTTTGTTTTCATACATAACAAGTGGGACGGCGGCAGGCCCACTCAATTCATTTAGGGTATAGCTCTTTTTCCCCGCTGTTCAACTTAGAACAGGTACCTGGGGTCCTTCTCCGAGGAAATTGATATTGGATGATGCCACGATTGCTCCACTAAACGAACAAAACTCGAGCATGAGTGACATCCAGCTATCTAACGTTGTTGGGAACATGAAGGAGAGGGAAGGGCTTCGCGTTCATCTACATGAAGGAAAGGAAAACCTGGGAAGGGCACAGAAGAACGTTGATTATCGAGAATTCGTGAGACAGCCTTCATCAATATTTACTGGCGTAATGGTAATATAGGCGGTGGTCCTAGGGTTAGCCCTTTACTGCTGGTGCCGAAAATTTTGGCCAAAAAGGGCAACGACCAACTTTGAGTTACCATAGCACTCTTTAGAACACCTTTTTATTTTGGGGCATCCGTCAGAGTATGTGTGTACATGATAGTCTTTAAGGTCCATTTAAGGGATGGAGCAAGTGTCGAAGAGCTTGCGAATCTCAGAACTTTTACTTGGTAGGGGTTTACTATACATCATGGTAAAAATCTTAAAAACTGCAGAGTAAATGTCGGCGCTACATCAGCAAGAACATCTTTTACATTTTAGTCCAGGGATTCATTTAATATCTTAAACACATTTGTGAAAATATTAACTTTCTATCAATTGTACTGGATCAACGTTTGGGGGTTGACTAGACAATTCTTAGTATAGAAATTTTCTTCCCGGTCGGGGAGGGATGTTATGACCCACAAATGTCATTAATTATGAAATAGAATTAAATAATTTCTCATTGATCTAGATAATATAAGGATACGCGAAGTGGCACATATTACCCAAACCATATAATGTCGAGTCAGAGAATGATAATGCTGAAGTATAAATTAACCCGAATATTTATGGATCAAGTCCAGGTATATTCGTCATAATGTGGATCACTCGGCGGCTGCGTCGGCATTTCGCGCCGTTAACAGCTACAACATCTGGGACGTCACCCAATGCCTCTTCAGGTGTAAAACAAAGAGAAAACACTTGCTGCAATCGAATCCACGATGTAATATAAACTTCGTTCATTCATTTCCACTCGGTCAATTAATCGGTTCGTCAGACACAGCCAATTAGTAATACGACGATTCGTTGAGTCATCTTCTTGTAACTTATAATGCCTAATACCTACGGGATCAGACAAAGACTTTATTCATTTTAATAAATCATTCAATTGCTAAAGAAGTTGATTCTCCCTGAGAGATATTCCTTCCTAATTATCTACGAGTGATGTATCCCTATCAACGAACCCGTCCGCTGACATCCATTTCAGTAGGCAGGTGCACGGTTGTGTGAATCATAATCTTATCAATCAAACTGAGAGCAGACCAAAATCGAGACCAAATCGATTCCATTCATTTCTCTCGATATGTTACATTACATCTCGTTTTTGATTTTCTTATGATTCAATTAGTCTAAACCGAAGAATTTCGGAAAAAATCTTTGGCCAACACAGTACAGACTCTCGACTTGATAAGCTGAACTGCAGTGGCTGTTACTTCCTTTGCAATTATATATTTTTATTAAGTCTGGTTTTCGGACGTTTTGGAAGAAAATGTTTCGGCGGTCAATATACTTGTACTTGTTGGAAACTGATCACCGAGGTTATCGTATCAACTAACTATCCTTCATGACTAGTCTTACCTTGAAAGGCTCTGGAGTGATTAGGTGCTATGAAAATGAAGAGACAGTCACAGGTGCAAACAGCAATCCCTTGCGTCCCGTCAGCATATGGATGTCAAAAATAAAAAATTACATTGAGTTGATTTACATTTACTTTATTTTAATGGTTTCCGTTTTCGTTGAGGTCCATTCTGCGTATTCATCTGTCTCGTTTTTTGCTCTATATTACTGCATACTCATTAGTGGCCACCCATTAGCTTAACTCTACGTTCAAAGTTATGGCGAATAATTAGGAATTATGTCAATGGAATTTCAATATTCAGTAAATACTTCATTTGAGTTCAATTGATCCATTATTATTTTAAAGTGATATTTCCTTAAAGATATTCCCTTAAAACTGCCATAACATCCACCACTTTATTGGCAATTCCTTGATATTTAAGGCCACACTTGTGAATTTCTTCTCAAATTATTTTTGACACTAATTAAATTACCCTCATGAATGTTTAGGAGACAGCACGGGGATGAACGCCAGCAGTGAAACAGTTGGGACCATGGTCGTAATGAATGAATACGAGGATGCATGCAGCAGTGGTGACGAGGATACCGGTGCAACATTGCCACCTTGGGAAGCAGCTACTGCATCCCTGACGTTGGGCTTTCTCATTTTAGCGACAGTACTAGGAAATGCACTCGTCATACTTTCCGTATTTACGTATCGACCACTTCGAATCGTTCAAAACTTCTTCATTGTCTCCCTGGCAGTTGCAGATTTGGCGGTGGCCATTTTGGTCATGCCTTTCAACGTCGCCTATCTACTTTTAGGAAAATGGATATTCGGCATACATTTCTGTAAGCTCTGGTTAACATGTGACGTCCTTTGTTGCACAGCAAGCATCTTGAACCTATGTGCGATAGCATTGGATCGTTATTGGGCAATAACAGATCCTATAAATTATGCACAGAAGCGTACACTTAAGAGGGTGTTGGGCACAATTGCTGGTGTTTGGATCTTGTCGGGAGCTATAAGTTCACCACCTTTAGCAGGATGGAATGATTGGCCAGAAGAAATAGAGCCTGGAACTCCATGCCAACTGACACGCCGTCAGGGCTACGTAATATATTCATCGCTAGGCTCGTTTTTCATACCACTGTTGCTCATGAGTCTCGTATACCTGGAGATTTTCTTAGCCACTCGGAGACGCTTGCGGGAGCGTGCCAGACAGAGTAGACTTGGTGTTGTAACTTCGACAAGACATAGAAACGAAGCAGACGATGCTGAGGAGTCCGTCAGTAGTGAAACGAATCACAATGAACGTTCGGTCATGCGTGTTCACACTAAGCCGTCGCTAGTGGTCGTTGAGGATGAGGCTATTGCTGAGGTTACTATAAGTGAGCCCGTTAAAAAAAAAGAACATACCCGGCGACACGGCGTATCAGCTAGCAGCGACACCAATGGTGGAGGTACGTCAACAACTGTCTACCAGTTCATCGAAGAACGACAAAGGATTTCTTTATCAAAAGAGAGACGTGCAGCCAGGACCCTAGGGGTTATTATGGGTGTCTTCGTTGTATGTTGGCTACCGTTTTTTCTTATGTACGTTATCGTACCGTTTTGCCCCGCATGCTGCCCATCGGAAGGCATCGTATACTTCATTACTTGGCTGGGTTACATCAACAGTGCATTGAATCCACTCATTTACACGATATTCAATCTTGATTATAGACGGGCATTCAGAAGACTCCTCCATATTCGTTGATGATCAACCGAAGTGGTTCAGTTTGATGTCGGAATCAAGAGCTCAACTTACGTTCATGGTATTTTACAATGATGATAGGGTCTAACATCGTCGAGTGTCTCAAACCACGTGTCTATGGATCATTCGTTTTGAAGATATTATTGGTTTTGCTATTCCACTCTTCTTAACAATTGATTCACTCTTTCATCATGTTAATTGGAAACGTTGATGGAAGACGGGAGAGAATCATGCTTCTTCGTCCAACTAGAATATTGGCAGCTGGTAGGGAGTATCCATAACAAATTAATTGTGTATATGAAGGACGTATTAAAATATATTTGGACAGAATTGGCGGAGCATAGTCTGTGGATATTGATAAAATTGAAGGATTATAGCTATCAAATCTATAAATTACAATTCGAGAATACTCGTGGATTGGTTTAAGATCACGTTGCTCCACCGATATATCATTGCAGAATGACGTAGAGTCCTGTTAGTGGGAAATTATCACAATGAAAAACAGTGTCGCGTAACTTAAGCTAAGACCGGAACGTTGATCGAGCTATAACATATTTATCATTTTATAAATGTTGGATTCTGTAACAAATGGCGCTATGAAGATGTTGACGGATAGATAATTTTAGAAAAGAATTGACCAACCCTCCAAATTTTTCCTAAATTATAGAATTTATAAGAGCATGATTAATTGCTGGTAATGGAAAATGCTCCATCGTTGAATCTACCACTGAGATTAGATACATTCTCTCCAGTTTTGGCAATACTTCAATAATTGGTGAGTGCTTGTGTGGTGTCGCAACTGTAAAATTTTCCAGTTACTGAAGTGGTTGCCAGCCATCATGTTATACCGTATCTATTCAATGTTTTTACCGCAAAATTAAGGTTCTTGTTATCATTGAGAATTTCAACGTCTGTAAGCTTTTTAACTAGTCCAAGAGACTAGGTGAAAATTTTCTGGATAGATTTCTCTCAAGATAAATTGCATCCGTTCACTTTCGAGGTTTTTCTATTACAGATTCGTTCTTACCGAAGACCAGATTATTTCCCCAGATTGGCAGAAATATTCGTTCATTATCGTAACTGTATCATTTGAATCAAAGGTGAGCCACATCTGAAAGCAGTATTGTATTCGAATGGAGCGATTTTATATTAACAGTTCAGTAGAAATCAAAATTTTTCGAATATCAACGTATTTAAACCACGAAAAATGCAGAACAAAAAATCATCATTTTCTCGCTATGATCTGATGTTCATTTCTAGTGCATATTCCTCGGAAATTTGAATTGTTGACGAACATACGGCAAACTACTCTTACACAGAACCACCTTATTATTTTGAATTGCTACTATAAATGATTGAACATCCGTCAAGCTTTTCGGATCAATTGAATTGAAATGCAATCTCAGTTAATCAGGTAGTCAGTCCTAAGCTCAGCATACTTTGGCAGTGATTTCATGTATTGAGAATAGTGTTCCTAATTATTTTCTACATTCATCAAGGGGTTCAGCTGCAGCTCCGCCATTCAGTAGATGTTCGATAGTACTGTTGAATGGTAAAAGATTGTGGAAGGATTTGAGGAAACGAGAAGATATCAAAGAGAAGAGGACTTGAAAATACATAGGTAAGAGCTATTTTTCACATTTTACTGGGAACAAAGTGAACAAAAATGTGAAAACTCGAAGAAATGCAAATCAAAAAATAATTATCTGTTTTGAGTAGCACTGCCGTATTTATTTCGTTCACTATTTTGTGAAGAGGATCTGTAAAATATATCTTAGGTTCAATTATATATTCCATTAGCGAGTATCAAGTATGTTGCTCATTTATTGAAAATGAAAGGACTGCGAGAGAAGTCTAAGAAAAACGAAGAGAACAGATTCAATGTAGAATCAAACAAATTCAACACAAATGGTAGCGCAAGACTACTTTCGTTATCAATTGCAAGTATTAAGGTTGTGAGTATTATTAATAAGGTATAACCAAATAACTGAAAAAAAACAATAAAAAATATAAAGGTATAGAGGTAAATTGCGTTCGATACGCAATTAATTACTATTATGACATGAAAACATTAAGAATCGATGGATTTATCAAGCGGTTCCAATTCGACGGAGCAAGGTGAGCCTGCTGACTCGGCCACTACCCAGCGAAAATTATTGTAATACTGAAAACGATCAATTCAACTCAGTGAAGAAGTCATGAAAAATAAAATTTATTGACTATCGCCTAATGGAGGCACCAGCTGCAGGCAAAAATATACTATATCCGGGGTACCGAAAATTTTCCAAAACCTAAAAGTGTAAATGAAGGTACTAGTACTAAGTAATAGGTTCCTTTTGATTTTTCATTTTTGAGGTTTCCAACGCATTGTCTTATCGATCAAATTATATAAATTATGTTAATAGCCCAGTTAAATTGTTGATTGGTCATTAGTTAGTGAAGTTCTGTAGTCCAAAATGAAACAAGCGGCTGCGACTTCCACTCTCTTTTCAACGTCTGAAAACTACTCCATGTTTTGAAGATACCTTCACTACCTTTATCCGTATTTTTCGATGTAAGATGGTTTATAGCTATTGCATTCTAGTACCTATCATTAGGAAGATAATTATTCAATTGATTCAAATTTTAGAATTTTATTGAAACTTCTATGACTTTTTCACTGAATTCGATAACAAGGTCATACACACTCACGCAGATATTCTTTAATAAGGTTGTGACAAGGTTGTGACATATACATTTAATTGCTAGCTATGCTTCTAATGACAAAGATAAATTTTTAATAAAAAATGAAAGAAAAAAATGTAACGATAACGGAGATAAGACCATTTAGCGGCGACTAATTAAAAACAACTGTCCAATTGATAGTACAAACTTTCTCATTCTCCAGCTGGTAAATTAAGAAACTAATTGAGTGAAGTATGCAGAAGCGGTGAATTAATGCTTTGTCGTAGTGTCAAGGTATTTCAAAATCATAAATGTCGATAATTGCGCAAAAGGAGGGGTTACTTCGCACTGCCACCCTTTCTCTTGTATTTCGAAAACAGTGTAACAATTTTTTGGGAACTGAAGCCCACTAAGCGATACTCATGGTGGCTATATTCGGAAGGTAAATGACATTCAGACAGACAGTATCGAAAGATAGTACCACGTATGGTAAATCAAGTTTACTGGTCCTTCACTCATAACTTCACAGAGATACAAGGTGCAGCGTAAACTGGGTACAAGTACAACATGAAATGAACCTTTATAGTTGTCGGTTGTCAGAATTGTGAAAAATTAGTAAGCCGTATAGAGTTATTCGAACCGAAAGAATGTTGTTATTTAATAAATTATTTTCATCCAGGAAACTGGGTAGATTAAACGAATGTTTTTTTTTTGAGTCTGTTCTAAGTTCTTTTTGAAAATAAATTCAGAAAAATAACAAAATCGACGCTTTATATTTTCGATTTTATCTAATTTCTCCGTCAGCAGCTGAACTCCCATGCTCATCTTTCATTTTCTACTTATCTCCGAAGGAATCCGTAGATTACAGACATTTCATTCAATGTGAAAGTAGCTCATCTTTCTAAATCTAATTTTTGTAAATTTTGTTTTTTTTTATATATATTCAGAGAAGACGAGGAAAGCTGCGCCCGCGGCCCCCTTCCGCGTTTCCACTCCGCCGCCATTTTGATGGGTGTTCATGACAAAAACTAGTTTAGGATAGCAGGTGGCTCTTTCGCAAGTTTCATCTTTGATTTACTGACGTCTCGTCCTGCAAAGTTTATACTCTGAGAAGTATACCGAGTTGTAATCGCTTTCATGCCTCCCATTGGTCGTAATTTAATGAGACTTTGATGTCAATTAATCAGAGTTCTTAATCCACAGTCTACTATAACTTAACCAAGCGTTAACCATGGGTATCTCAACCATAAGCGTGGCCCTCGGAGATAATTTGAAGTGAAGTTTAACTGTAAGCAGATCCTGACCCATAGTTAACGAAATGATACACGGGTCCTACAAGTAATCCTAGGTTCTGTTACTTTCAGTCAAAACATTTTTCAACTCCGATGCTAGGCCAATCGCTAGGCCACTCCGCCAGATCGGGAGATGGTTTGTTTCTCATGTTCTTCTTTATCTGATCATTAGAATAATATCAGAAATATGCAGCAGTAGAGATGTTTCCTGAACAACTTGATCTCTGCTTTTTTTTACATCACTTCATAGAACTCCGATGCAGTCACTCAATCTTTCAAATGAATTCTAATACATAGATAATTTCATCGTTTTTTAACTTGAATATGCAGAAGACTAATAATGCGATTAAAACAATAATGGATAACTATATTTGCAGCGTCAGTAAGTGCGTTAATCATTTTTATGAAAGTGATACTCCATTTGGTCATTTTGCAAACCCTACTAAATGTACTTTTGTAGTGTGCCTGTCACATTATAAGAGATGGTCCTTTTCGATCCTTCCACCATCATTCATTAAACCGTAAATTCGATGAAGATTGTTGCATGAATGTGAAATGTGAACACAGAACGCATTGCCATAACAGCACCTACGAATCAATTTCGATCACCTTCAAATGTGATTTCCTTTGAAAATATGCTGAATCGCAAAAAATTACAAGTGCCAGGCTTTGTATGTTCCCAACATGCAATTTCGACGATAGTCAACTTTTAATTCTTCCAATCAATTCAATTTGATGTAAATTGGTGATCCCACAAGTTATAACTCAGCTGACGCATGGAGAAATTTATGTGACATTATCGATCGGAAAGAGAATGTTGAAGATAAACATAAAAAGGTTTTGCAAAAATGATATGAAATGACCATTCAGAAGATGTGAAGGCACATACGAAGCTTACTATACTACAAGCGCTTGGGTGCACATGCTAATGAACTGCAACATGTATGGTTGCTTACATATTTAATGATGAGTTCAGCTGAGTCGGTAAAATGACGGAGAAAATGAGTATTGAAATTTCATATATAAGTGGTATATATAAGTGGTTCGAAGTGCTAAATAGAAAGTCCATCAGCCAAAGAAGTTTATCGCTGACGTAACTGGAACTGATAGGGGTGATGATAATTAAAAACAGTGTCGAAAATGATTTTCATTCTCGGAAATCATAAAGCGCATCAGAGGGGGAATTATGAATGAAGTGTAAGTATTGATTTTTTGTTTATCAACGTCTTCATGAATGGAGTACCTAAGCTTTGCCATGGTTTCCTGGTTACGAATCCTCTGAGGAAATCCCAGCTGTGAAATTCCTAGTTTGAACTAACCTTGATCCAATGGAATTATCACGATTCAAGCAAGATTTGTGATAGAAGGCTGATATGAAATACAAGCTTGTATACGATAGTTCCGATGATAGTTCAGGTGTGAGCTTTCGAGCTTCAACCTCGCAGCTTGAACCAAGCTAGGTCCAATATATGATATCCAGGTAATTCAAGCCTAGGAATTCCGAGTCCTAACAGTGCTTCACTTTATGCGAGTACCGTGGTCAGGCCAAGGGTAATTACAGAGAGCAAATACGAATGTAGTTACCAAGGAAATTTCAGTAACGTTGGAAGCTTGGACCAAGCATGGTAGAAATGAATAAGACATCATTGATAATGATAACAATAAATTAATTGCAGGTAACATAAAATAAGTGGGTATGTTCGTAAGAAGGATTGGGAGTCGTAGAGAGCTGAAGGTGGTAGTGATCAAGGAAGAGCAACTTCAGTCAATGGATAAATACATAGATAGGTTAGGGTACGCGGATGGTCGGACTCGCCTCCCAAATGCCACCAAACTCAGACTAGAGTTATTATAGCTGCGCTTGTTTTATGCGCGGATCATATGTCCAGCCCGGCCTTCGTTTCCAGTCTTAACAGATCCGTTGCATCCTTGTTCGCCACTTGATTTGCGGTAGGGAAGGCAGTTCTGCACCAGCGCAGTCTCGTCGCCGCTACAGCCGAAATATCACATATGACCACCCATCCGAGTCCATGCCGATGACTCTGCAATGTTGTTTAAATCTGCCATGTCCTGTAAGCGACCTGATCGTAGTGGCTAGACTCTTCCTGTCCATGGCCAGTAGGTATTTCGACCTTTTCTTGCTGGGGCCAGGCACGATTGCCCTGGCCTTCCTGCAGGTCTTTGTGTCTTTCCACCGCTCCGATTGTTCAGGTCGGAGCTTTTCCAATATATGGCTTATACCGATGGCATGGGGGACGCTTACTGGCGAAGACTCGTCCGCGTTTATTGCCTCCTGCTTTGCCAGCCCGTTTGCCGTTTCGTTGCCGTGGATATCCTCGTGACCTGGGAGCCAGGCAAGGGTTACCATGATTTCCCAGACCAACTTAGAGTCAGCACTGGATTTGCGGAGAGCTTTTATAGCGGCTTGACTATCTGTCCACACAAAAATGTGTGTGTTGATTATCATCCGGGACACCAGAAGCTCTGAGCACTTTTTGATTGCCAGAACTTCCGCTTGAAATATGGTGGCCATAGTCCCTAAGGACCAGCTGCACTTGTAGTTTTCCTCTGGCCCTACGTTCCTGCTCCAAAGCACGCTCTGCATTTCCTAATTTGGTACTTCCTGGTCATTCTATGTTGACTCATGTTCCAGGGATTTTTCTTGAGGATGTCAAGCTTGGCGTATGCCGCTTCCGCTTGCATCCATTCCCTCAGGCACAGGAGTCTATAAGCTGTTGATTCTGCCCTACTCACCACAAGATCATTAAGTGAAGGCAGGTCTAGGGCAATTTCTAGGGCATCCGTGGGTGTCGTTCTCATGGCCCCAGTCGCTGCCCTTAAGAAATTGCCCTGTAGGCACTTCAGCCGGTTCCGTATCTCCACACTCTTTGCCCTGGGTCACCAGACTACAGCGGCGTATATGAGCCGTG